GCTGTGACAGAAAGTATATTAACATTATTTTCTAGCTTTTAGCAGTGTGTTTAGTCTGCAGCTCAGCAGTCTTCAGAAGGAAGATACTCATAGCCCCTGCTGAAATAGAGAGGAAAGATATCTTCATAGTCTTACAGACAGTCTCAAGAACAGAATACAGACTGTAATGGGGATTTAGAGAATATGTTTATATGAGATGCCAAACCTGGTGGTTTTAGTTCTGTGAAAGTTAATGCTTTTTTGATTAATTGTATGAGAAGAAAGAATGCCACCTAGTGGTATACTTCATGTATCCAATTTATATTGTCCTAAGGTTGTTTTTGTTAATATGGGCATGTAAATCATGTGTGTCCAAATATAGAACAAGGACTTAAGGAGTCGAATCCTTCACCTGGAAGGTTCTTATCGATCAAGTAAAGAAGGACTTGTTGCTCAAATGGAAGCAAGGATCACGGAGCTAGAAGAACGACTTGAAAACGAGGAGAGGTAAAGCTAGTTATGCTAAGATTAAAACAGATGTGTTTATATATGTCCTCTTGCTTATATTGAATATCTAATATAACAACTTGTTTTTTTATTATTTTCTTTCACAAGCACTGATTAAAGTACTTGCTGTTATATGTAAGTGTTGCAGGTTTGATTTTGAACAAAATCATATAGGAAATTGCCTTATGTGTTTAAAACTGAGCACAATGCTAACATAGTTACATATGTCATTGTTTTAGCAATGTCTAATATCAGTAACAGGCTTAGAAATACTAGCTGTAGTTGAACATTGCAATTTTCATGTTCTCTTCATTGTTTAAGCTTGAAGGAAACTTTATATAAATATAAAAAAAAGCAGTTACAAGTATTTATTTAACTCTAAAATATTGCTATGGAATTCCCTTTCTTACAGGCTTGTCCTATGTTTGTTTTTCCAGGGATAGGGCTAATTTCCAACTAAGTAACCGCAGACTTGAGAGAAAAGTGAAGGAGTTAATGTTGCAAGTAGATGATGAACATCTCTCATTGACTGACCAGAAGGATCAGGTAGAGGAAAAAACTAATGTACTATTATGTAGTATTATTATCAAATATTTACATGAATCATCACATGTATGAAACATTTCTAAGGAATGTAAGTAGGTACTAATTACTTGGTTCTTCATGAAGTCCCATTTAATGAGATTTGCCGTTCCCATTGTCATCATGTTCCTTTCTTTGATAGTAAATTAGTATCAGTTTCTAAACTTAAGCAAATGAAACACTCGTAGCAGCAATGCTGTGATTACAAAATAAAGCAAATAGTAGTCAGAATATGATCTATATATGATATAATACACCAAGAATAGCATATTCTATCTTGTAAAATTTTATTTGAAGAAGCTACTTATTGTTAAGGCAGGTGTTAAGCATATATTGATATTCTCATAGCAATGTATTCTGTGCCATTTTTGTGGTCTTCATTGATTCCTTGCTTAAAACATGTTTTATTTCAGTACGTGGGTCAATTAGTGCCTAAAGAGTAAACAGTGACTTTAAAAATTCAGACGTCTATCATAGGAACAAATTCTTTTGGGTTAAGCAAAAAAAAAAAACAAATGTGTTTTATAGTATCTGTCAGGTAAAGTTGCTTAGCATCGTGCTGTCTTACTCTATCAAAGGTATGTTGTTTGTTTGTTTTCCTTAAAAAAAATTATCTTCTCTTTTGTCAAAGTTTAATGCTAGCTTTTGAATATTTGTGAAGCATAGTATTACAGTGTCATTACGCTGGCAAAGTTGTGTCTTTATTCTCCCTCTCATAGATGCTGGAAGAATAAAGTTCCTTTATTAAAATAGTCCTCTAATCAGCTGACATGTAAATATTTCAGTTGAGTTTGCGTTTGAAAGCAATGAAGCGTCAAGTTGAAGAAGCAGAGGAAGAAATAGACAGACTGGAAAGTGCTAAAAAGAAACTTCAGAGAGACCTAGAAGAGCAACTAGATATGAATGAACAATTGCAAGGACAGCTTAATGCTGCAAAAAAGGAATTGAGGTAGGATAATGTGTCAGACCTTACAATTATGTGTCACTTGCCACTCAGTGTTGATTACTTGCTCCGTTAGTCCCTCAGTTGGAGGCTTCCTGTAATAAACCTGAAGTTTTGTCATAAGTATTTGAGAGGCAGAGCTGTGAAACTCTTCATCGTTTTCTTCCTCTTTAGATTTTCTTTATCATTTTCTTCAATGCTCTAGGTGCCCAAGTCTATTTTCTATCTAGTGAATAATCACTGAAGCAGGGGATGAAAAATGAAAAGGAGTAGTAGAGCTTGGCACACATGTAATTTGTAGTGATTAAATTTTCTATTTTTCTAAATATTCTTATGACTGAAACAGCTATCCTGTGTTTAGTTTTCCTCCAACATCACTGAATATTTCAGTGTCAAAGTCCTCATTCTCTTGCATGTTTCTTTTATGTAAGCTGTAGTCTATGATAAACTTCTACTATAAGAGCATGGATATCTGACATTCTTAAAAAGTGCAAATGCTATTTATATTACAAGCTTTGCAAAAATATTCTCTATACTAATGTGCAGTGTTAATCATACAAGTGTGTGTGTTTTTGTTTCAGTAGACGAAAGAAGTCACCAAGTAAAGTGCTGACTGATTTTGATGATGATGATGACGATGACGAGTTCAGCACGGATGGCGATAGTCTCTGTGAAGCACCTTCAGGAAATAACTTTTCAAAAGATAGTGACACAATAATGTAAAATAAGTATTGGCTCTGTGTTTCCTTGAAAGTACTGGAAGAGTAACTTAAACTATCAAAAACCTGGATATTTTAGAAGCCAAATACCATAAAGGGATGTAAGATCTGGGAATTTGATGTTTCCATCCATACTGTGCCATTTTCTTATTTAGATATCTTCTGTTTATTATAGAAAAGAGAACTGTGTTGTAAAACGGCTATAAAACATGGTTATATATAACTGCTACTGAAAACACAGGGATAACATTTCGCCTTGGAATTGTGATTTTGTTAAAATTCTGTTTAAGTAAAGAGCCATTTGAAAGTAATTCAAGTTCAGTTTGTAGTTAATAAAGCTTTTTCACTAAAATTAAGGAAGACACAGATGATTATTTAATAATTGTAAGTACAGATTAATGATATATAGATTGTAAATATTTTAAAAATCTGATCTTTTATTGACTACTTTAGTACTATTTTGTAAAGTTTTAAGTATTATAAAAATCAGTTTCATATGTAGAATATCTAAATTTATACTAAATATTATACTTGGGTTTTAACTAAAATAAAATACTTTTTTTTGCATTACAGAGCAGATTCACACTTCCTGAGCCAGAAAGTACATTCCGATTTTGAAAACAGTTCCAAGTTTTATTATATGTTGTTTAAGATGAAATGTAAATACTGCCTGTTGACTTTAAAGGGACCATCACATCTGCATGATGAGTGAGGCTTGCCCACAACTTTCTTGCAAATTTTGGTTGGGAAGCTTTGTCTTTGTAGGAGGTAAGGATGAAAATTAAATTAGAGATTACTTAGCATCTTCATTTCCTGAAGTGGACTCCAAACTGCCAGGCACAGCGCTGTAGGCCTGCTCGTTTGAGGGCACTTGGACAAGCTCTTCTTAAAGTCTTTGAGGAGTCCTGCTTGTTCCAGTAAAATTAGTTTATGGATTAAGTACATGCTTAAATCTGTATATTGTTTGATCCCAGAAAGTTTTGCACCTGGCAGGACATTGTGCCCTTGAAACAAAAGCATGTGATCTAATTATTCTAACCTGTTCTTGAGTATCTATTTGGGATGTGCTGCAGTGTATGGTCGTGTATGCATATGTTAGCATTTCAGATTAGAGAAGTATCTGCATTTTGAGAAATTCATCTGTTAGACAAACTTTGTGGGAAATTAAACAAACAAACAAACATGCAAATTCTATTTTAAAAGCATTTTCCATTTTATTACTAAAAATATTTTTGTTGTTTAGATTACACAGAGCAGTTTATCACTTTTGCAAATCTAGAATTTCAAGGAAAGGCGCTACTGTATAATTTTGTTAACAAACTATAGCTAACTCCTCTGTGATTATTAGTAGTTGTCCCCATTATATATAGCTGAGTACATCTTCATTGAATGGACCACGTACTACGTACTGTAAAAATACTTTAACCTGGAGCTGCTGGGGAGCTTCCATTACTCACATGACACCAGAAGCTGATAGGCTTGGTTAAGGCAAAAGTCCTGACAATGGAGTATCCATTTTCAAGATTATATGACATGAAACTCCTGCCTTGCAGATCACAAATATATTCACACACAGCACATCATTATACATTATAATACATAGCACTCTGTTGTCTTCAACTTGACGTTGATGGTTTCAGAACATGGGAAATAGTATGAACTGCATAGTTGTAACATTCTGTGCCTGAATCTTGTACATCTTTTCAGATAGTTTCGGATTTACATCGTATAATTTCTTTTTGCAGTACCAGTTTCACTGTTTTGTCAACACAGAAACAGCCCATGCTCTAGGAAGATCTGCACTATGCTGTACTATCATCTTACCTGTTCTGACTTATTTTTTGTTTCATTTGCGTGTTTGTATAGGCTTAATTTTAAACAACTGATTCCAATTTTCTGTTCTGCACCTGCACTCTGTCATGATGTATGTAAATAATTATTATTTCAAACCACTGGGAGAAAATCACTTAATATTGCAGCTACCTCCAGTTACACTAAACTGTAAATGTTAAAAATAAACATTTAAATCTTACAGTTATACTTTGCATTTAGATTGATGTGAGAATTGAACTTCGTATGGAATATGCGTATGTTTAGAATAGAACCAGAAAATAATTATCTGGGAAATAATCATGCTGTAGAAGGGTTTCTGTATTTTCTTCTCTTTGGAGAGCTACTTTCTTTCTAACTTGGTAGGCAGATGGAATATCTGGAAGACGTCTTTTTTTTTTTTTTTTTTTTTTAACTTCAAATAAATTGGGAGAATGATGCATTGTTAAGGGACTGCTAGTAAGAGAGATCCTGGCTGTTAGGCCCTTGTCCCTCCCTGCCATATCATAATCATCATAACTGTCCTTAACTGTTTTTTTTTTTTCCTTCTTTAGACTTGGAAATGTCATTTTCTCTTGGAAGTTCTCAAATAATATAACTAGATACTGAAAAGGCATTTCAAGTCATTCACAAAACAATCTGACATGATTAAGCTCTCAGAATTGGATCACATTGGTAATTTTGGCAAGTTTGTTTACATTTCTTTTTCAAGAAAGTCACTGTATAATGTTTTAGAAGTAAAACTTTGACACCTTAGTTCTTAAAACAACTTTTTCTTGTCACGTTATTAGTAAAATGCAACTACTGATATCCATTCAGTGACACACATTTTGTGAATGGTAAGTATTTTAGCCATGATGGTAGGGTATAGATCTTGTTTGCTACAAAAAGCACTGGTAGTAGTTTAAGGAAGTCTTAGTTTAAAGAAGTTTAGTTCATCTCATGGCTGTTTTTGATCAAAACTCATCTTAAATCAGAGTTAAGTTTAGAAAACTTTGACTAGGATTTGCATATAGTTTTTAAATGTACCTCTGAATTTTGCAGGAAGCGAGGCTCTTGGACTGTAAAAGCCATAGGAAAATATGTGAAGAAGTGTGGATTAGAAACAATCAGTTTCAATATTTTTACAAACATCAGAGTTTTTGGTGTATTGGAAAAACACCTGTAGAGACCTTCCATTTTTTTTTGATACCATAAAATCTTAGAAACACACAGACATAAGCCCCATCACTTTTGATACAAGTCATTACCTGATTCCTGGTACAGTGGATTCTTCTGTTTAAGTATCTTTGATGAACATTTTGTCCTCTCTGGAATTAATGGCCTTTAAAACCCTACTGAGATTTTGATCATTTGTATATTGTGATAGAAAACTTGTGTAAAAATGTTTCCTCCCATTGAAATTCTCCTCTATCTAAATATTTGTGTTGCACTCTGACAGAGCCTCTTGCTTTTCTAGACCTGCTTCTGTAGACAGGAGAATACAAGTTAACTTGTACAAGAGTGTTTTGATGTTTTAAATCAATAACATTTAACAAATGCTGCAGGATTCTTCAATGGCAATTACCATGCAATGTGGAACATAAATATAAAAGCAAACAAATGAGCAAAATCCTTCTGTCCTACACAAACTCTTCACACACTGTCCAAATAATAAATCGAGGATATTCTTCATGATTTTAATGCCCTTGACTTTGGAAGGTATTGTTTTCATAAAACCATTAAGGTTTTTCAGAGATTATCTCCCTTTTACTTGCAAATAAGAAGAAAAGGACATTGTCTTCTTGTTGTCTCCCATACTGCTTCCCTATGCCTCACTTGAGGAAATGCTGTACAAAAAGCTATACAAATGCTTTCTTGCATCAACACTGTTGGTTACTTTTTATTGTTCAGTCACTAGGCAGAATTTTGTCCCCCTCAGTTTATTTTCCTGGTGATGAGAATATTGCTTTGTGATTAACCTGCCAATTTCTCTGATTTATACTTGTCGGTTTCAATTTCCTTTTGCCTAGTTAATGAGTTAAATAATCTGTTCTTATTTATAACTGATTTTCTAAACTATTTCTTGTGCATTCTTCATTTTTACAGCCCAGCTGTATACTTTGCTGAGTGAGCTACACAGTGCAATAGCTCCAGCTTTTTGGTCTTTTCTGCATCACACAGCATATTTCAGAAATTTAATTTTGATGCTTATTGGAGCTTCCGATCCTGTGAGTGAATCTATGTGTTTCAGCTGCTTAATTTCTACCAACTGCAGTTATCAAGTAACACTGCAAAACATTCAAAAGCTTTGCTGAAAGAGCAGCATTCCATAAAAATTATCAGAGTTTATAACGCAATTTGTTCTTGTTTGCATAAGGGGCTGATTAGGTGTATTCTTAACCTAGTGACCCTACTGTGTTATACTGGGGGAAATCTGACTATTTCAACTTACTCCTGTTATCAAGAAGATGATACAGAGATAAATAGACATGTTTTTAGTAGTATGTGGTTTTTTTTCTTAAAATTTTAAGAAAAGAAGCACTTAGGAGAATAGAGGGAGTAAAATTCTACAGAAAAGTTCAGGAGTAGTAGTAAATTGGACTTGCCTACCTCCATAGAAGTGTGACAGCTGTTTTCAAGTTAGCAAGTGATTACCAGTGAACCTCCTGTGAGGTCAACAGAGATCGTATGCTTTGTGTAAAAGGAAACATCCAATCTTTTCTCTACTTACAACAACAATTTGCTGTTTCATTCAGATTCTGAAGGTTCATGCCATTAGCAGAAAAACAGACAAGAAAAAAAAAAAAAAGAGTTAAATTCCAAGCACAGGTGGATGATGAAAATTTAAGCTCTCCAAGTTGCCAGTGGGAAACTGTAAGAACATTTCTGTGTGAGCACAGAGAAGGGTCTCAGTACAGGTAACGAGTTTTTTTCCATACTTTCTGTCTATTACTGTTTCTTCAACAGAATAAGCTTTTTGAGCAATGATTTATACATTTGAAAACTATGCTCATTACTATCAAGAAGTTACTTCACGTGTTAACGTGCATTCTGGTTAGGATGAAACCTACCAACAGTATAATGTAAAGCAAGGGATAAAATGTAGAAGGAAGATCATTGCAGGATCCAGTTCTGGTCTGTTGTATTTTACTGTTCAGCCATCCCTCTTAAAGCCCAATACTGAAAATCACCTAAGCCATCTTAAGCACACAGATACCTAAATGCATATGGCTGTGCAGTGCAGGTAATTTTGTTTTGCAGAAAAATCTTAAGCTCCTTCAAACGTTGAAATACTCAAAATGCCTGCCAGTATTGCTTAATTTGTATGCCTCTCTTTGTCTCCTATCCTTCTTCCAGAAAGAAATAGTGTAATTCTTTGCTTTCTCTTAACTTTGGCTTTTGTTTGAAGATGTGATTACTGCTGTGTTCTTCTGGGAAAGATAAAGAAGGTGTTGCCACTCTTGGAAGTGGAAACAGAGAGGAAACTGTTGGGATTGAGCCCTGCAAAACTGTTTATATCAGAAATGAATGTTACTTTTTTCTAAAAAGCAGTTCCACTCCATCCATGTGAGAGTTGAGCTGTTGAGTGAAAGGTCACTTTTCTAGAGCTAACTATTCTCAGCAGCCTTTTTTTTAGGGGGGTGGGGTGGGCTGGGATGGGGAGAGGTAAGAACTTAAAGGAAAAAGGACTCTCTGAATGTACACATTTGTGACTGGAGTGCAAGAGCAAAAGCATACACGTGCACTGAAGGCAGAGGGTTTGGCATACATTTCTGCAAGTGCAGAGTCAGTTCATTATCAGTTCATTGGGCCCCTGTTTGAAACTATAATTCCGTCTACTTAAAATGGATAAAAGAAATCAAGTGGCTATTGTCATACTGGTTACTGTAAGTCCTTCCTAGTAAAGAGCACCTTCACCAGAGTTCAGGCATTTTCTTGGATACTGTGTGTGTAAAAGCGCTTTTTGATGCAAAGACGTGACACTTATCTTAATTCATCTTTTAAACGTTTATCAAAAGAAATGCAGAACCATCTAGAAAATACAGAGTGCCCAGCAGTTGAAAGTGAAGCTCTAAAAGCCAGAAGCATTCTGACTTCTAATCCTTTGAGCTGCTGGTTCACTGTTTGACCTCATGTCTCTGTCAACATGCCTAGAAAATGAAGCACAACACTAGACTTCACTGAGGACTTCTTAGTGTGTCTGTTTTGAAGCTTTCCAGAGAAAAATATTAGGAAATAAAGCCAAGAATCTTATTTTTCACAGAAATTGATTTTTTCAGCATATCTGCTTGCTGTGCTGTGTTTCACCCTTTGCTCTGCAGACTCCTATACTGGAACGTCTTGCAAGCGTGGTGGAGCTGTCTTATCTGTCACACACCTGAGATTGAAGGTCTTTTTGTGCTGGCTGTGCAAGACTCTTTGGAGTGCCTTTGCTGCAGAGGTACAGTCATAAATCTTGATTTCCTTGCTTTAAGGGCAGTTCAAAGTTTGTTTTTCTTTAAACAATAATAAAGTGGTTCACTGTGTTTCAGGCAAAACAGTTATGAAAAGTGGGAATGAAAAAATAAATCTGATAGAACTATGTAAAAAAACTACTGTAACATCAGCCAACAAAGCAAGGAAACTTCCTGAATCAAGCTATGTTTACTTCAAATACAGCTTACTCTGGCTTGTCATTTCAGTACACATTGTGTGCTAGCCAGCTATTTTAAAGATAAGATCAGATCCACAATTCGGATCAAACTGTCTCTCCCAACTGTGAACTTCTTAAGCATTGCAAAGAGTCATATGGAAGACCATAGTCTGTGTAGTGAGTGCTGTGTCAGTGTTTAAGGATAAGTATTTGTCAGGATGAACATGGGCAGTCGGAGCCAAAAAACGATGATATGAGTAAGGAGTGACTGAACTGAAGGGATATTTCTCTATGGTAAGAGAGGTTTTATGAAAGTCAGGTAAAAAGACATGATCAACATTTTAATTGCAACTCCATACATTCCATTTGAAAATTCAAGTAATGTATTTATGTTAACTGAAAATGAATTGCAAACAGAACAAAAAATTGATTTTCTCTGCAAACTTAAAACCTATTCTCAAATTCCTTTATCAAAACAGAAAGCAAGGCTGCATTTTCGCTCTTCACTGGGCTGTGGTTAGCCAATGTGTCAAAATCCATAAACTTATTTGCTATAACTTGAGCTGGCTCTGCCCTGTGCCCTGGTTTCAGCCCAAATGGGGTTAATAGTGCACCAATGTTGGGCTGGTGCTGAGAGGCCAGGTAGGGCCATGCCTGGCTTAGCTTTTGCCTGCAAGTAAAGTGAAGACGCAGGCCATGTCTGCATGCTGGTAGTTAAGGCTGTGTTCTGGTGCACAGTGGGAGTGACTTTAAGAACCCATCATTCATTGTATTTGAGGATGATAATGAGCTTTTTCTACTAATGGAACTGCCACTTACAAAGCCTGTTGTTGCAATATGTCTGTATTCACCTGGAGGGGTTTTACTGCAAGGCTTTACAGTGCCCTTGTCAGGATGGCAGATGCTTGTGACACAAGCCTCGGGAGCTTGTATGTGAACTGCAGCTTCTATAGGTGTCAATGTGCCATCAAATGAATGACATTAGCAGTTGTATCTAAAGGATAATGTAGGTGCAGGAGGAAAGTGAGCACCAGTGAGGCAAGGAGTCTGCTTAGATTTGTTCTGAACAGTGTCAAGCCTACCAAGCAGGATAAATAACTCCTGGAAAGAGTAGGTCTCTACGCTGAACAGTTAAATAGACTTCTATCTCCTAAGCCTGCCAAGCTTAGAATATCAGATTGATTCCACAAACTTGTATACAAGTCTTGTAATTTTAGCTTCTCAAGATTGTAAGGATATCTGCCAGCCACGGGACCTATGGGTGATACCTACTGTACAAACAGCAGTTGCACTTTCCCAAAGCATACAGGCAGTGATGTGCTGCTGATACAACTGGCGCTTGGCTGTTACTGCAGGGCAGCAGTCAGGCCCTTTGAGAACACTGCAACAGTACAGGGAGTGATAAAAGAACATTGTGTTTTAACTCTGATTGGCACTGTATCTTTTCAGTGCAGTTCATCTCATTACATTTATAACTTCTACAAATTTAGAAATAATATGGAGGGGAAAAGAGAAATTGGTACCAATTAACTTTGTTGCTACTTTCTCTGAAACCCTGTGCTGAGCAAAAATAGGCATTTCTGCTCTTGAGAAAAATGAAACAAAACACCACAAAATGGGGAAAGCTTTGATGCAAGTTTTCTAGGTGGAGAAGGACTTTTATTTCCAAGGGAAACTTCTGAAAATCTTAAACGTGGAAACTGCAATCAGGATTGCAAGGTACATCAGGTAAGTGTTTCTCATCCTCAAGGTAAAGCGAAGGAGCCATAAACCTCAGGGCGCAGGAAGCCGTGCCGGGGCGAGTGCGGCAGTGTGCCCCGTAGGTGGCAGCAGAGAGCAGAAGGCAGCTCCTTACGGGCTGTGCCCTGCCTTTGTCCCAGGGGTCCTCGCAGTTTGGATCCCGGTTTGCAGGATCATACATCATTTTAATACATCATTAATTGTGTTTAGTCACATAATGCCTTTTGTACCTAGATGTGGCTGTACCTACCTGTGACTGTAATTATTTGCCACAGTGCAGGGTTTTGTTGCAACGAATCTCACAATTGGATCTGCGAAGCTGGGGACTGCTGCCTGTGGCAGTTGCAAATTGCCCTGTGGCAGGCACTGCTTTCATTTTTTGTTGCTGGCATCCTTCAGTATGATGAGAGTGGTAAAATTCATCCCTTAACAGTGCTAAGCAGCCAGGACTCCTGCTGCGGCTGGCATTGCAGCTGACGTATTGCATCCGTTCTGCTGACTTGTTGACTTGTGCTAATTATGGTCTAATAGTACACCTTTTGCTTGCTTTCCCAGCAAGCAACTGGTTTGGAGCCAATTGTGATACTCCATCTAAAAAGGGAGATCATTTATAAGCCAACCTGAGAGGTCTTGAGAAGCTAAAGTATATCTTGAAGCTTGGTAAACTTGAGGTTGAGCTCCAGCACAGGCTTCTTGAAAAATGGGCAAAATTACTTAATCCTCTTGGTGTATGAATTGTCCAACAATGAAGCACAGTACAGAATAAAGCCAGATTGCTATTCTGAGAAGTATTTTCTACAGAAAGTGATCTGTTGCTCAAGAAAGATCCTTTTCAGTATAAAACTACAGTCAAAATAGTATTTAAGAAATTGAAGTGAATCAAGTAACTAATGTTCACTACTCCGTATAATAATGAGTTGTGATGCACTTTGTAAAAGTGCTGCTGCTGTAAGAAGTACTCAGAGGTTCTATTGCATTACCAGAACAGATCCGTAAAAACCTGGTGATGATCCTGGGTTTGGGGAAATTAATTTGAAGAAGAACTGGAAAAAATACTGAACTTGTTTTGAAGTTTATGTTATGTGGTAAAGGACAGAAAGAGCATTGATCAGCATCTGCTCTTTTCGTTGTCTTGTAATCCTGTGACAAGGAGATGATCACCAAAATGGAGCGAGGAGGATCAACACATGTACTTTTTTAGAACATGATTAGAGTTTGTAACTCACTGGTTATGACAGTTTAGCATGAGAGAGATGTTTCATAACTGTTAAGAATACTCATTATTCATGAAAATCTGTCGGCAGAGTTTAACTAAACCTATTGTTCAGGAAGTAAGCCAGTCTTTAATGATTAGGGATCCAGGGAGATACTTAGAGGGAGTGGGAGGATAATTAATGTCTGTCTCTGGTGGAATTCTTCTACCTCTCTCCAAAGCAGGAAATCCTGGCCAGTGACAAACAAGGTAGACAGCAACTCTGATATAGTGTTGGCATCTGTTATGCCCTGCATAAGAGCAAGTGATGGTCTGGGAAGCAAAATGAGGTAGCAGCTGTGGCTGGACTATAACATGAGAGAGAGAATTTCTCAGACACCAAGTTGTCTTTTGCTTCAACACTTAAAGGTATTCTCAAAGAAATGATTTCCAACATCCTTTCAGATCTGATCTCTTTCCACCTATTTTCAGGCACTGACCAAGAAAAGCGTCAGCAGGGTAAGAAAAGTAGAAATGTGTGTTTGAACATTTCTAAGAGGACTGAACTGTACGCACTGTGTTGTGGTTTTTCTCAGAAGTTCAACCCCCCTTTCTTTTGTTTGTTTGTTTTTTTTAATCTGACATGACTCAATCTTAGCATCTCTCCATTTCATGGAAACTAATGAATTTTGAGCAGTTGCAATTTCAGTCTACCTAAGAATGTCTTCACTTTTCCAAAATTCACATGGGATAGTTATGAACTGTGGTGAATTGTGTGATTTTATTTACTGGGTGCCCACATTAGACATATCATCAGGAATTAGCCATGTCAACAGTCATGTTTTGTAGGCTAACAAGACCATAATTTCTACTTGAGCAGATTCCCTCGATTTGTATTCATAGAATCATAGAATCCTTAGAGTTGGAAGGGACCTCTGAGGGCCACATCCAATTCAACTCCCCTGCAATGAATAGGGACACCACGGCTAGATCAGGTTGTCCAGGGCCTTGTCCAGCCTTGCCTTCAAAGCCTCCAGAGATGGGGCATCAATAACAACACTAGGTAAGCTGTTTCCAGTGCCTCACCACCCTCACTGTAAAAGATTTTTTCCTTATACTTAACCTAAATCTCCCCTCCCTGAGCTTGAAGCCATTTCCTCTTGTTCTATGGTATGTCCCCTTCTTTCCTGTAGCTCCCCTTTAGATACTGCTATCGGGTCACCTTATCGCCTTCTCCAGGCTGCGCAGCCCCAGCTTTCTCAGCCTGTCCTCACAGGAGAAGTGTTCCATTCCGTGGATATTTTTTGTGGCACTTCTCTGGAAGTGTTCCAACAGTTCCACATCTCACCTGTACTGGGGAGACACCACATTTGAACGCAGTATTCCAGGTGAGGCCTCACCAGTGCAGAGCAGAAAGGCAGGATCACCTCCCTTGCCCTGCTGTCCACACTTCTGATGCAGCCCAAGATATGGTTGGCTTTCTGGGCTGTGAATGCACATTGCTGGCTCATGTCAAGCTTGCCACTTGAATTTGTTGAACCCCATGAGTTTCACCTGGGCCCACTGCTCAAGCCTGTCAAGGTCCGTCTGTATTACCAAGCTCTGTACAAAATCATGCTATTCTTGTTCAAGAGAAACCTCAGAATTGCCACAAAGATAAAAATTCATCTTTTTTTGAAGATTATATATTAATATGATCAGATGGTTTTGACCAGAAAAGACAGCTAAAAATTCAGCCACAGCTTTTATAAGCATCTGGACTATATGTGGCTACAGAAACACTGGAATTTCAAGTTTTATCTGCATGATGGAGTAAGTCAGTGCATTTTAACTTTTGTATTGCTGTGGCAAAGTTGTTGCTG